CAGGACAGGAGAGACGGGACGAGCACGGGGGGGACGGCGAGCCCAAACGTGAGACGGAGGGGTAGGGTCAGGGGACAGCGGAGGAGACACAGGAGGGGAACGAGGAGGAAGACGGGCCGGAGACGAGTCCGGCGGCGGGAACACAGGACCGTAGACAGGGAGGTCAGCAGGCGGTGGGGGAGACACCGGCGCGCGGTCCGGTGAGGGAAGGCCGAGCAGGCGGAGAGCGGAAACCGGCGGCGACGGCTGCTGCGGCGGCGACGACGGCTGGGCCGGAACTCTCGGACCAGCAGAGGCAGAACGACCGTCGGCAGAACACTCAACAGCAGCACCCCCAGAACCAACACCCCCAGAGCGAGAACCCCCTCCAACACCAGCGGCACCCCCAGAAGCCGCAGGACGAACACCCTCCTCCACACCAGCACCCCCAGGGGCCAAGAGCGGCGGCGGCAGTGGCGGCAACTGCTGCGGCGGCGGCGACAGCGGCGACGGCTGCGGCAGCGACAGCGGCGGCGGCGGCGACGGCTGCGGCGGTGACGACAGCGGCGACGGCTGCAGCAGCGACGGCGACGGCGGCGGCAGCGGGGTCGGCGACTGCGACAGTGGGGGCGGAGGCACCGGGGAAGGGGGACGCGGCAAGGACGGACCGGGGGTACCACCAGAGTCAGCAGACTCCTCAACGGGGACAACCGACGGGAGGGGAGTGACGTGGGAGACACCAGACGGGGCAGGACGAGGCGGGAGAGGGGCAGGGGCTACCGGGGTAGAGGGAGCAAGGAATAGGGGGGGGGCAACTGGGAGACCTCGGTGATGGAAGCGGCGGTAGAAGGAGACGGACTCGTCAAAGGTGACGTCACGAGAGTGGAGGAAGCGGTGAGACGGCGGGTGGTAGAAAAGCCAGTCAGACGAGTCCAGGGGGAAACCGAGGAAGACACAGGGGACAGTGCGGGCAGTGAGCTTGTCCGTGCCAGAGGCACGAACGTGAGCAAGGCAGCCGCAGACGTAGAACGCAGACGCGTCACCGGGGGACCCGGTCCAAAGGAGGGTCGGCGAAACCTGCGGCCGCTGGGAGCGTGGCCACAGGTTAAGCTGGTGAGCAGCGTAGCGAACAGCGAACGGCCACAGAAAATGGGGGCCATCGGCATGGATCATGGAGGTACGGGCGACCTCCATGACCAAGCCGATGCGGCGCTCAGCAACCCCATTCTGCTGTGGCGAGTCCGGCAAGGTGTACGACTGGGTGATGCCCTCCGCACGACAGAACTGTCCAAGCCGACCAGAGGCGAACTCGCCGCCACGGTCGGAGTGGAGACACAACACGGGGAGACCGCGGTGGAGACGCACAGCCACAACCCACGGGAGAAGAACGTCGGGCACGTCGGCCTTCCGCTCCAGGGGAAACACCGTGGTGTAGCGCGTGTAGTCGGCGACGAGCACAAGGAAGTAGCGCTCACCGCGCGGTCCGGGGACGGGGGCAGGGCCCCAAACGTCCAAGTGCAGGGTCTGAAGGGGGGCAGTAGCAGGATGCAGCGAGGAGGAGTGAGGAGCACGGCGAAGCCGACCCTCGACGCAAGGCGTGCACGGTGGCGCAGTCGAGGGAGGAAGGGCAGGGAGCGACGCAGGGAGACCTAAGACAAGACCGTGCTGGGACATGTGACGCAAACGCGGGAGAGCAGGGTGACCTAAGCGGTGGTGCCAGAGAAGGGAGGGGTGAGCGAGGGACCGACACGAGCAAGCTGCAGCGACCTGGGAGGACGCACCAACCGGGGGGGAAGCGGTGTCTAGGGTAAACAGACCAGACACCGGGTCCCGGGGGAACGTCGCAAGGGGGGAACCTGAGACAGCCTCAGAACAGACAGCGAACCGCTCGTGCCCGGGGAACGTGGTGGTGACGCCGAGGTCCTGGAGACAGCCGACACCAACCAGGTTCCTGGAGAACGAGGGAACGTGGAGGCCAGTAAGGGAGCCTGAGGGAACTGCCGGACAGGGAAGGGACGTAGAACTGCGCGTGACGACCGGACCCGCAGAGGGGTCAGCGAGAGAGACAACAGCAGGTGCAGCAAGCGGCGTGAGCGTGGAACGGTCGCGGAAGAAGCAGGCAGAAGCACTGGAGTCGAGAGTGAAGGACAGCGACGCAGTGGCGGAGGCCGGGGACGGAGCCGGTGCAGCGACTAGACTAGGCAACCTAGGCAGTCCTACGCCTGACGCAGCAGGGGAGGCTAAGCTACACAGGGGTGCAACACATAAACTAGAGTACACAGGGTAATAAGATCCAGCAAAACTAGAAGTGTCAGAATACAAAGCATGCAAAGCAGCACCTAGCTGATCCATGTCTAACTCAAAGATCGGCACGCCCTGGCGGAGCAGGCTGTGCCAGTCGGGGAGGTCCGGGGCCGGGCCAAAGCGACGACGAAAGAGATCGTCGAGGCGGCGGAAACAGCGGGCGGTCGGGTACGGGCGGCGGCACAGAGTGCCGCGAAGAGGCCCGGTCTGAAGCTGGTACTAGCAGGTGACAGCACCGGAGCCGCCGGTAGACGCCAAGCTGCGCGGGCCGCCACTACGGCCACTACCTCCGGAGGTGCCGGGCCAACCAGGCGGGAGACGGGCCCACTGCTACGGCGACTGCTGCTGGGACGGTAACTGCTGCTGGGGCGGCGGCTGCAGCTGGGGCTGCTCCTGCTGCGGCTGGGGCTGCTGCTCCTGCCCACCAGTGGTAGTCCCCGCAGGCGGATTACCGTCACCACCACTACTGCCACCACCACCCCTACCCCCCTGGCGACCACGGCCACCGCGGCGCGAACGCTGCTGCGGGTGGACCGCACCAGCCGACTCGGTGAGAGGGGCCGCCGAGGCGACCGCAGCCGAAACGTCAGTGAACGCACACTGGGAGGGGGCACAACCGTGAAAGATAGAAACTGCTGGCGCACCGCTCGATTGAGCGATAGTGCGCTGGCGAGTCTCGATCTCGGTGAGGGTGTCGACAAAGGCAGTGAGAGTGAGGTCACCCGGGTGCTGGCTAAGAAAGTGATCGCGAGCACTAGCGAGGCGGTCTGGCAGGCGCATGGCGATAAAATAGAGCGTCATGCAGAAAGGGGGGGGGAGCGCAGTGAGCTGGGCAGCAGTGCTGGCAGTGCGATAGCGGGTCTCTAGGGCACGCAAATGAGTGGCAAAGTCTGCGACGGTAGGGAAAGCTGCAAGGTCTGGGAAAAGCATAGGGAAGAGCAGGCGACCAGCAGAAGCAGACGCGGGTGTGGAATAGCGGGCAATAACAGCGTCTAAGTAAGCTTTGGCCGTCTCAATAGTAGCAAAACGCGAGCGCTCAGAGACAGGGAGGGCGTGGCTAATGGCAACCTGAGCGACTGCATCGCGGGAGTCCCAGACCGCACGGGCAAGCGCAGCAGTAGAGAAGGTCTCACGGTCATCAGAGGAGGGATCAGCAGGGAGGGGAGCAGGTGCGGGGGGACGGGGGAGCAAGCCGTCGACATGGACAACCAAAGAGTGGCCATCCTGGCGCTGACCTGTAAGGTGGCGGCGGAGATCGGAGAGCCAGGCGGCGAAGTCAACCGCATGGCCCTCCGCGTCCAGTCGGAGCACGAAGTCCGCCATCGTGCAGGGTCAGCGGCACAGCTCCACAGGAACACAGCGACAGCCCCCTCCAGCACGGCGGCGCGAAGCGCCTCAGCACGGGCGAGCAGAGGAGACGGAGCCCGAGGCGGCACGGCAGGACGAGCCGGGGCGAAGGGGTCAGGCAGGTGCGGTGGGGCCAGGCAGGTGCTGGCGAGGCCAGGAAGGCACGGCGGGGCCAGGCAGGCGCGGCGGGGCCAGGGAGGCGCGGCGGGGCCAGGCAGGCGCGGCGGGGCCAGGGAGGCGCGGCGGGGGCCAGGCAGGCGCGGCAGGGCCAGGCAGGTGCGGCGGGGCCAGGCAGGCGCGGCGGGGGCCAGGCAGGCGCGGCCGGGCCAGGCAGGCGCGACGGGGCCAGGCAGGGCGCGACGGGGCCAGGCAGGCGCGGCGGGGCCAGGCAGGCGCGGCAGGGCCAGGGAGGCGCGGCGGGGCCAGGCAGGCGTGACGGGGCCAGGCAGGGCGCGACGGGGCTAGGCAGGGCGCGACGGGGCCAGGCGGGCGCGACGGAGCCAGGCAGGGCGCGACGGGGCCAAGCGGCGGGGCCAGGCAGGTGCGGCGGGGCCAGGCAGGCGCGACGGGGCCAGGCAGGCGCGACGGGGCCAGGCAGGGCGCGACGGGGCCAGGGCAGGCGCGGCGGGGCCAGGCAGGCGCGGCAGGGCCAGGGAGGCGCGGCGGGGCCAGGCAGGCGTGACGGGGCCAGGCAGGGCGCGACGGGGCTAGGCAGGGCGTGACGCGGCCAGGCGGGCGCGACGGAGCCAGGCAGGGCGCGACGGGGCCAAGCGGGCGCGACGGGGCCAGGCAGGGCGCGACAAGGCTAGGCAGGGCGCGACCGGGCCAGGTGGGCGCGACGGGGCCAGGCAGGGCGCGACGGGGCCGAGCGGGCGCGACGGGGCCAGGCAGGGCGCGACGGGGCTAGGCAAGGCGCGACGGGGCCAGGCGGGCGCGACGGAGCCAGGCAGGGCGCGACGGGGCCGAGCGGGCGCGACGGGGTCAGGCAGGGCGCGACGGGGCCAGGGTGGCGCGACGGGGCTAGGGTGGCGCGACGGGGCCCAGGAGGGACGCGACGGGGCTAGGAGGCGCGACGGGGCCCAGGAGGGGCGCGACGGGGCTAGGGTGGTGCAACGGGGCTAGGGTGGCGCGACGTGGCCCAGGAGGGGGGGGGGGGGGGGGGCGACGGGGCTAGGAGGCGCGACGGGGCTAGGAGGCGCGACGTGGCCTAGCTAGGGTACGGGCGGAAGCGGTAGGTGGGGGATGCTAACCTACGCGTGATACCATGTCAAAGTGAGAACGAATAATGACTAGAGGTGGAAACCTAGAACAAATACTAGTTGGTTGTACTCACTAGAAGCATACCTCAGTCTAGCCTATAACTTCTACATAGATAATAAGTATAAGTTGACATTACAGTACATGTTGCCTGACTTGTAAATAAACCTGCCAGCCATGACAGGTTGTAAATGTAAACGCATGAAGAGCATGATAGGGCAACGCTGCGAGTTGGCGATGCCCATTGCCTTGGTTTCTAGAAAGCTCCAACGAGAAAAGAAAGGCATTTTGGCATGGAAAACGAATACCCAAACAGAGACTAGAACAAACGAGCGAGCGCCAACGAACCAAGCACTGGAAAACAGGTCCCTCTGCGGTATGGAGATTCACCACTAAAGCTGCTGGGCTGATGCTACTCCTAGGATTGTTAGCTGCTGCTGACGGGATTCCCATGGGATACTAGTACTACCAAGACACGGACGTCGTCGCGTGACGACGAAGGTGCGTGTACCCTGTAACGCCGTAACGCTGTAACATGTGTCTTCTGCCCTATGAATCCGAATCGGAGCTCTTCTTTGTGAACCACTCCAGCTGAGGACAAGAGGGGGGACAGGGCAGGGTGGAAAAGGGAGAGGGGAGGGGGGGAACGGATGCATGGTGAGAGGCATGAAGGTTGGGGTGATGAGGGAGGGGCGTGGTGATGGGGGAGGGGGGTCGAGAGCCAGGAAGGGAGAGGGTGTTGCAGTAGAGAGGTGGGGAGGATGCCACCACAAAACGGGGAGTGGTGGGGAGTGGTGGAGAGTGGTGGGAAGAAAGAGGCCAGCAGTGGTAATTATGAAATGACGCATTTGGATGGTAGAGTGACCAGGGGTGAATCCTAGCTTCAAAACATAGAAGAGTGCAGAGACAATGACAACGCATACAGTACAAAACATGGCGCTCAAGATACCAGGGGACCAAAAGAGCCCCAACAGGTGGAGAGAGCCCGCTGGTGGTCACCTAACCGCACAGCTATGTGGCCGCTGTGGCCGCTGTGGCTGCCGTGGCTGCTGGACAGCTCGGCTGCTAGACTGCTGAGCTGCTGGGCTGCTATGGCTGCTGCGACCAGCGAGCACGGGCGTACCTTCCAGGCGTAGAAGAGCACAAAGACAATGATGCCCGTGGACCACACAGCAGCAAAGGACTACTTAAAATGGGTTGGGATGGTCAAGCAGCACTACAAGCTGCCAGCTAGCCAGCTAGCACGGCAACCACAACCCGCAAGCACAAACCCCCCTACCTTCCAGGCGTAGAAGAGTGCAAAGACAATGACATCCGCGGACCATACGGCAGCAAAGGACTTCCAGACGAGCGGCAGGGTGACGTTGACTAGAGCACGACGAGGAAGAGGTAATTGAGAGCTGTCTTCTCGTTCTCACTGCAGTCGCGCGCCCGCAGGGACGGGATGGCTGGGGGGGGGGGGGGGGGGAAGGGGGTGAGATGGGGGGAGACAGAAGCAGAGGGGAGAGAGAAAGAGAGGGAGATGGAGGAGAGAGGGGAGGAGGGTGGGGGTGGGGCGGGAGAAACGACAGAGACATGAGCGAGTGAGGTGTTGGCGGGGGGAGGGAGGGAGAGAGGGGCAACGTTGACAAGGTGCACGACGAGGAAGAGGTAGACAGGGAGTGAGGGCTGTCTTCTCGCCGCCGTCTGCACGACCATGCAGTCGCGTGCTCGCAGGGACAGGGTGGCTGGGGGAAGAGGGAGAGGGAGTGTGGCGATGGTAAGGGGACGCTGGGAAGAGAGGGAGGAGGCGGAGAGAGATATAGAAGAGAGACTAAAGATGGTCTCTCAACCAACCTGATGCGATGTAAAAGCCGAATTTACGCCTGTATGTATGAAGTTGTATAAGATCTCAGAAATCAGCCCTTATCATGATTCGCCACCACCAAACATCCATACAGACAGAATGCATTTCCAAGAGCCACTGGATGCCCATACAGTCACGCACCCACATAGAGACACACACCGATCTGATCGCACCCATGTAGAGTCACGCCCCGATCAATTAAAACCCACGTAGAGTCACACACTGATCAATTCACACACCCACATAGAGGTACACATTAATCATCTCACACCCACCGAGCATCCATATGGACCACATGCCATGAGCCGCCAGAGGTGCATGCAGCCACAGTCACGCCTTTAGGAAAGATTGACTGCCCTATGTCCACCCAGGGAATCCAGATCGGCCCCACGCAGAGCATCCAAATGGACCACCTGCCCATGAGCCGCCAGATGCCCATACCATACCATACAATATTATAACAGACCATACCGCACAGGTCCTTGAAACGCCATAAAGCCGCAGGCGCGGCCAGAAGCAAAAACGAGGAACTCCCCACCCCACCCCACGCTCTAAACATCACCACATGCCCATGAGCCGCCAGAGGCCCATAGCAAGCACGCACATCCATAAGCCACAGTCCCGCACGCCCATCGGAAAGAGTGACTGCACATGCCATGCCAGTGCCAACACTCAAGGAACATGCCATATGGACCACACCGCATCACATGCCCGCCCATGAGGCGCATTCACGCAGATAAGCACCTCACTCACATCACAGCCCAAATTCTCACTCACCCAGCTCCAATTCATCCTTCCCCGTGTCGTCCCCAACAGTGGCTCCCCACTCACTGGACGTCCACATGGACCACATGGCACATGCCCATGAGGCGCCAGAGGTCAGCAGCACTCTCACATCCATGCCTCCCCACATGCATGCGCGCAAATGAGCCACATTCACATCCTTAAAGCGGCACTCACTGAACATCCAGATGGACCACATGCCCATGAGCCGCCAGAGGTCGGGCTCGTCAGAGGGGAAACGAGAGTTGTAGGAGAGCAGCCCGCCCAGCGCCATGCAGAGGTACGCCTGCACCTCGAAGATGGTGTACAGGGCGGAGCCCGGCACCGCTGGGTTCTTGGACTTGGTGGACGCGCGCGGGGCGAAGGTGGTCGCCGTCTTCTTCACCGCCTGGTGGTGTTTGGGAAGGGTAGAGGGTTGCGTTTGGAGCAAGAGGAGGGACGGGGGGTGGAGAGCGGAGAAAAGAAAAGGGGAGAGCTGAGGCGGGTACTGCTGGGCTCTTGAACTAAAAGGATGCACGTGGACGGGTGGGGGCGGGAGAGGGAAGGCGGTCGCTGTCTTGCTCACCACCTGGCGTTTTATTTTGGCGCGGCCGAGGGGGAGGGTGAAGAGAGGGAGAGAGGAGGGGAAAGAGAGGGAAAGAGGATGGGAAAGAGAGGGAGAGAGGAGGGGAAAGAGAGGGAGAGAGGATGGGGGAGAGAGGGAGAGGAAGGGGGGCCCGGGGGGGGGGGAGAGACGGGGGGTTCAATGGGTGTGAGGAGGGAGGGGCGGGGGGTGTAGGTAACACCGCTTTGCGCTAAAGTGCAAATCCATTCTGCAAAGGCGCGTGAATCACGTGACTCTTTTCTTTAGGCACCGTCTAAGGAGACGAAGACGAAGACGCAGATTAGTCGTCGGATGAAAAGGACGCTGCGCCCCATTTGATAAGACGCACATGCAACGAGATAAGTCTTCTTTTCTAGCACAGCCGCGAAGCCGCACTCCGCAAAGCGGCCAGCGCGGGAAAACAAGGCAATGCGCCATCGTGTTAACGCGTCAACGCGTCACGGCTCGAACCTTGGAGATTTCTTTGCTGACGTCAACGTCGCTGATGCTGCCGTCACCCACTGCTGGGCTCGCGGCGCCCTCTGCTTGCTGTGTCTCCGGCTGCTGAGCCGCGGCGCGTACTATGGAGAACGAGCGCTTTGTAAATGCGCCTCGAGATCGCACGGGCAGGAGGAACAATCCACGCGAAGCGACGCGTGAAGCTGGAGCCACTGTTCTGGCGCACGTGGCACGGGTAGAGCCGCCTCAAAGACAGCCGCGGCGGGAGCAAGCAGCGCCATGGCTCTGGTAGCTTCAAGCCACGTATTCAGGCGCTGAGGTGACGCCACGTTGCAGATAAGCAGGAAAATCCGAACGTTCGACGTGGCAGCAGGAAATCACAAAGCTGAAGTGCAAGTGGGTCGAATGGATGAGGTGTTGAACGGGGACGCTGAGGAGCGAAGCCTGGTTCACGCTACTAGCAGGGCTGAAAAGCGACATTGATATATGCATGAACCAGATTCATTTAAATCCAGCCATAGTTAAATATATTCCAATATAGGCCAAATTTCATCACGTTCCAACCTTCGCTAAAACCGACAATTTCTATCCCTCAGCTGGCATTAGAGAGAATACGCATAGAAAGAATATGTTATCACGGGTCAAGTCTTCATTGGGGCTAGTCACTTGGGAGAATACACCATAATGGCTTAGTGAGATGTTTTTAGGTGACGTTGAGCCGCTGGCGGAAGTCCTCAGCCATCAAGGGCAGGCCTTCTCGCAGGGTCACCTGTAACATCCGAGCGGGAAAAAAAAAATCAAAAAAAAAAAAAAAAAAAAAAAAAAGCCCTTCAGAGCCATGATCAAAAGATTCACCATAGCAAGTAGTAAAAAAAAAAAAAAAACTGCAAACCAGGAAAACGCACTCTGGGCTCCCATCCAAGGATCTCCTTGGCCTTGGTGATGTCTGGCTTGCGCTGGCGCGGATCGTCAGGGGTGTTCTCCACAATCTTCCACGAGGCAGATGGCTCAATCAGCTGCACACACAAAAAGATGAAAAAGATTTTGAAAAACAGGGGCATGGAAGGGGTATGAAACAACAGCCAAATCTACACAAGCTCCATGTGTCAAGGCATGAGCAAGAGAGAGTTGAACTGGAGGGGGTTCCAACCAGTTAGAAGGTCCATCGCATGCATGTCATCATAAGCACACACATTAAGACTTCCATGCTGGCATTGTACACCTTGCAATGAACGTGCACACATAAACTGATAAGTAGAAATGGCGTGAAATGGCAGGTGTGACTAGACAAGACTGGCGCTACAACCAGCCCGGAAGTAAGATGCAACCGACGCCCATGCCATGCAATGGCCCTCAGCCCTTCCCCCTTTTTTCCACCCACAACCCCCCTCCCCTCAAAGCACCAAGTCGGGGATTGAAGTGTTTGCTGCATAGAAAAGCAACGCACCTCTTTGACTGCAGCTGCCAGCTCTAGCATGGTGAACTCACCTGATCAGGATAAGGATGGGGTGAAATCAGCAGAGTAACAAGTATGAGGAGAGAGCAGGAACGCAATAGGCTTAAAGGTGCACCAGAAGAAGCAAGAGTGATTGCAAAATAGTGTGTGCAATTGAACAAAAAGATCAAACAGGTAATCTAGTGCAGCACACGTTTCACAAGGTTTTCCTTGCCATGGCATCTGTCGCATCACAACCCTCCCTGCTCTTGTTCCTGTACCCTCTTCTTGCCCTACTACTCAGGGGCCTTACACAATAAAAAGCACACAACTTCCCCACCAAACCAAACCCAGATCCCATCATCCCAAGAGCCAAGGTTCAAATTTTCGATTGTGGATACTTGCGGTTGGAAACTTCCGACAGAAAGTTTCGGCCAGATTTTGAATATTTCGGTCAAATTTCATTAGAACTCCTTTTTTTCGTAATCCTGCCAAATATTCCACATGTACTACACACAACCATCGTTTGCAGTCTAGAGAGCTGGGGAGTACAAAAACACTTTGAAATGTCACTAATCCTAGGAGGCTTCTGAGCCACTATCGCCATCGCAAATCTCCCAAGGGAAGATCACCTTGGACCCGTTAACAGCATCCCTAGTTTGCGCTATCATCGCCACTCTCAGCTTCTTCTCCTTCCCTTTTTTGGGCGCACTACCGCTTCCCCTTCATACCCTTCCCCGCCCTCCCTTCGCACAACATCTCTTCCGAAACTTGCAGCCGAATTTTTGCACCGAAAGCGGGAAACCCAATTTTGATGATTTCGACGTAAAGTATCGACAGAAAGTTTCGAAAACGAAACTTCTGTAAAAAAAAACAAAATTTCGGCGAAATTTTGAACCTTGCCGAGAGCAACACCCCGTCCCCAATGTCATGCACCTGCACGTCAGCCCACGCACCAGGGTTCCCCAGGTTGATGGGGCCGGTCACAGGGCCTCCATGAGCTTGATCAGACCGTCCACCTGTCCAAGGAGAGGGGGGCAGCGCGCAGGGAGGCAGCACGCAGGAAAGGAGCAGGCAGGGATGCAGCAGGCACATGTGTGTGGGTGTGTGTGGTGTGATGGAGGAGCGAACGGGATGGAGAGTTGTGACAAGTGGTGGTGACGAAGGCTCAGAGGTGGCCCAGCAAGGCAAGGTGGAGGCGAGATGTAAGAGGCAACGATGCATTGAAATTGAATTAGGATGGTGGTCAATGCATGCCATTAGCATGGCATGGGCATGGCATTAGCATGGCGTTCGCCAGACATTAGCATGGTACGGTCATGGTGTTGGATCACAATGGCAAGATGTTGCATGTGAACCACATACCATGTCAGCGACGTAGCAGAAGCTACGGGTCTGGGAGCCTGGAGCCTGCACTGTGAGTTCCTCTCCCCTGCATGGGACAGCGAGCAAGAGTCAAGGGTGCATGGACACAAAAGAGCAGAGAACAGGGGTGGACACAAGACAGCAGCGCATGAGTGAACAACGACAAGGGGGCATGGCATGGCAGAACGACGAGCAAGACGAGCCAACCAATCGCAAGGGAGAGGACCAAAAAGGGTGGGACTAAAATCGGGTTGTGGAACTGGGTGGCGGGTAGAGCCCCCATCGCCATCACCATCAACAACTCGGGAAGGCTATCACCGTCGGTAACAAGCCAAGCTCTTGACATTCACCTGAAGGCCTGGGCGATGAAGTTGCTGACCACGCGGCCATCGTCAATGTTCATGCGAGGGCCGTAGGTGTTGAAGATGCGCCGCCACTCGGATCTCTGCAGTGGTGCGAGGGGATGGGATGGATGGGATGGGAACAAGGGGAGAGCAATGAGAGCGATGAGGGCGCTGAGAGCGATCAGAGCGAGAGGAGCGGTGTGAGCGTCGGGGTGAGATGGGGATGGGGCGGGCGGCGGGTGGGAGGTGGGGAGAGTGTAGATTTCAACGCAATCATAACCTTTGTATGCCATTCATATCACTTGGCCACGGTTCACCATCGACGTCTTTCCACCACTCCTTCCCTTTCCTTCCCTTTCCTTCCCTTTCCTTCCCTCCCATCCATCCCCTTCGCATCCCCCACCCTCCCTTCAGCACCCCATCCCCACATCCCCCACGCCACCCTCTCCCCCAACCCCTCTCCCAAACCAAATGCTCCCCTTCTCCCAAGATCGGTCCATGCCACTCACCGACGCCGTGTTGCCGGTGGTAGTCAAACATGAGCGTCTCCGCCACTCGCTTGCCCTCGTCGTAGCAGCTCCGCACGCCTAGGGAGGGGAGAGAGAGCGAGAGAGAGGGTGAGAGGGAGAGGGGGGGAGAGAGGAGAGGAGGAGGCGCGAAGATCAGGGGAGATGGAAGGTGGAGGGTTAGAGGAGAAGAAGATTTTGAGGAGAAACGCAGTGAATTTTTGAATGGAAATCGGGCTGAATCAAGATGTGCATGCTACTGCGTTGATGCACAAATGGCTGGCATAACAATGGTGACGCAACATGGGACGCGTACAGTGGGCAACGCTGGCCATGCTCGACTGGGAGAAATGGCTCTACACATAGATTTCTCATTGATGCGAGATTGCTCATCAACCACCCACCGATGGGTTGACGTTGCCCCAGTAGGTCTCTTCTGCGGGTGCTCCAGGGGATCGCCGTATACCTCTGACGTTGACGTCAGGAGAATCCTGTGAGCAGGATAACGACGACGAAGAGGCCAACGAGGTAGCATGAGTGGAGGCAACGAGGAGATAGTGTGCAAAATCTGCAACAGGAATGATATAAAATCTGAAGTTAGGTAAAATAGCAACAGAAGGGTCCGAGAGAAGTCCGGATGACGTAAGGTCTGAGTTTGGATCGAGAAAGTTGAGCGGAAAAGACGGGAAGGAGAAGCAGCTGAGCGGTCCTCCTTACCTTGCTCCCACTCGCTTCGCCAGTCCGAGCATGTTCAGTGTACCCATCACGTTGGTCTTAATGGTCTGCACAGGGCGAACGGCGAGACATCAGCGCAGAGAAGTCAATGCAACCGGGGCAAATAAAACGTGACAGCAGCAGGCCCGAAATAGCTCGGGAGACTTAAAATTGAAGAAAACCACACGAAATTTGCGCTTGCCGTGAGGCTCGCAGCCATGCAGCGGATCTGAGGGTGCATCCGTACAGACAAACAGATGGCCGTCAGGTCTACTACGAACGTGTCGGCAGCTGAATCCAGTCCACAAAACCCTCCCCCTTTATTGTACTTACCTTCACCGGATTATACTTGTAGAAGATCGGCGAAGCGGGACACGCCAGATGGTAGATCTGATCCACCTCCACCAGAAGGGTCTCCGTGACATCTGCAAACACGCCAAAACCACGTCATATGCAGTTCAGAAATCGTCGTTTTCAAGTAACTTGACAGGAACATTTTGGGCTGTTTTAAACTTTAGTTGCGAGGGACACATGAGCCTGATCTGGCAATCCGGCGTGGCGTTTGGCTACCAATTCGTCGGCCATAAGACGGCACGTACATGTGGAGCGACGAGGACAGAAAAGCCAACGATGTGGAGGGGAGCGGATCGCATTCGTACCATGGCGAATAATTTCAAAGTTTGGGTGGCCGATCCACTGCCGGATGTTGTCCTTAGTCCCGGTGAAGAATTGTCGGCCACGATAACCTGAGACGGAGACGAGACAACGTGAAACAAGTTAAGTGGGTTCGCGGAATATTAACTAGCGCAGGAGAAGGGAAAACAGAATCGAAATAAACGGATGTGACGAAATAAACAGAGGGAAAGCCTGACAAACGAACCTATGGCCTGCTTGCATAAGCCTGTCGACAAGGTGCGATCCAATGAATCCCGCACCTCCGGTTACCAGCACTCTCAGGCGAGGCTGCATCAGGGAGAGATGCAGGAAACAGAGAGAAATCAGCTAAAGAAAATGGTGAAATCAAGCGTAGCCCCAGCACATTTCATTGTTGCCTGAAACGTGCACAATGTGCTGGAAGGGAGGAAATATTATCATAGGAATGGCGATCGGGTTTCACCGATTCATTCGGTTCAACCGTTCATCCAGGACGATGGAAGCACGGAAATGCGTGAGCTTGAGTTCAGCAGCAGGAAAAACGACAACTCGGGGAAAAGAAACCATCACAAGAACGTACGCTAGAATATTTAGACTGCCTGATCGGCGATGGGGAGGAGGAATTTCCTGTTCTCGCCTCCATTCTCTCCCGCCTTTCAGCAGCACCGTTGTCGCTCATCTTGAGAGCTTATCACAAGGAGCTATGAGCACCAAGACAAGCCACAATCACCAGCCAGAGACAAGTAGCTGGTGGAAAAGCTAAGCAGATAACAAGTGTTGTCGATATTCTCCAACACTGACTGACTTTGAAGACGGTTCAAAATGTTCCTCAGACACACAAATGCACCTAACAACCGTCACAACAGATGGGCCTGGGCCAAATGTTCGATCCCCTGGGAAGATGGAGGCTTGTTCCTGTACAGTACCAGGTGAGGTGAGGAGGACACAAACCAAGGGTGCTCGTTACTGGCGGAAACTTGATGGGCGGGCCAGATGCGACCAGATTCATGCGACGAACCGAACGACGCCCACCTTTTTCGCTCGGAACGTCTGGTGATGTTTGATTTGACGGCGAGAAGTGCTCTACTGTCAAAGTTTCACGCGGGAAAATCGAACGCTTGCGACCGAAGGATGTCAGCCAGTGGGAGTGATGGGTCCGTCGACGGCTTTCGTGGGCAACAGTTGGATTGGATGGTACGTGTAGGAAGGACATGTCA